TCACCAACTGGATCAAGCAACACTAGACAATCTTCTTGTTACATCTCCATCGAAATCGAGTCACTTGTACTATGTGAATCTTGTTCTTAGATTCACAAAAGCTTTCCTCGACGGAGAAAGAGGAGGATTGCAATTGAAGAAAGTCTCAAGCTTGATTGACCAATACATAGCTGAAGTAGCACCTGATCCTTGCTTGAAACCTTCAAAGTTTCTTTCTCTACTCACACTTGTTCCAGATTCAGCCAGAGAATCCCACGAAGAAATATATCGTGCAATCGATATGTATCTCGAGGTATGTTTCAACACTCATCTCAAACTCAAAATGTAAAAGAAAATTTCGATCTTTATCACATAAATGACAAGTTTTTGGCTCGTTCAGGCTCACACAGGATTAACCGATGGCGAAAAACTCAACTTGATACGAACATTAAGTTACGAAAAGCTTTCAGGAGAATCAAGAGCACACATTTCCCGTAACACGAAGTTTCAGGCAATTGAGACACTAGATGAACAACAACAACAACCGAAGCAGCTCATACTCCGAATGGAGAAGGTTGAGATTTCAGGAGAAAACGAGAAGCTGAAGGAACATATTGAAGGGATTCAGTGGCGGGTAATGGAGTTGGAGAGAGCCTGTTTAAAAATGCAGAATCAAATGGAAGTTATCAAGAAGAAATCCAAGAGCTCGAGCAAAGGAAGTAACAGATCACTTCCTAAGCTCTGTTCTTGATTTAGTGAAGCTGTAGCTTACAAGATCATATTTGTACATAAAGAGTGATAGAGAGCATAAGGAGTCAACAATTATAGTTACAATTTGTTTCTTATGTTTCTTATCTTTTCTTGTGTTGTTTACTGTCACAACAGTTGTTCGTAAGGAAAAGTAAAGATAGATTCGATTTGATGGAGATGTTGATACAAACTTAAACCTATCAAGTTTTCTTGTGAGATTAATACCAAGAATGCAAAAGAAAAATGATTAGAGAAAGTCCAAAAAGAATCTAGAATTTTGATTCTTTTCTTTCTTAAACGTTACTCTTTTGTGATTCCAAGATTCTCAACGTGAAATTGCGTTTACTTAGAAAAGAAAACAGTTTTTGGACGAGGCATTGCCGTTACGTGTAAAACTTTGCACGACAAGAAGAATGCTTAATATTCAAGTCATGACTTGAAAGAAATTCAGACTAAGAAATAAGAATAAAATATATTCGTTCCTTTGATCGTCACTAGTAAAAGATATCGTACAAGTTGTATAACATTGTCAAATCTAGTTTCATCGCCATAGCTCACTTCAAAGTTCAAACCAAAAGGAAAGCTGTAAAACAGAGAACTACAAACATAGAGCCGAGACACCGTACCAGGCGAATAAAGACTAGAGATACTTTCGGGCTCAGGATGTTTCAGCAGCCGGTTGAGTCACACCATGCTTAACCAACAGCTTGGTGAGCGACTCAGGTGAGTGAACATGGTACTTAACATTCCCGGATGGAGTCAGATACACCTCAGCAAGCTCTAGCTTCTCAGATGTTAAGCTAGTGCTGTCCATTGTCTTGGTCAGAACCTTTAAGGCGAGCTCGACTGCTTCTTCCCTGGTTGCATCGTCCTTGTAGTCTTGTTTCAGAATAGACTGAGCTGCCTGATTGTTTGCTCCAACAGCTGCAGCTTTCCAACCACCATAGTTTCCACTCGGGTCACTCATATACAGCTGGAACCCATAGTTCTTATCCCATCCTGCAAAGAGAAAGGAGACACCAAATGGGCGAAGACCACCGAATTGTGTGTAGCCTTGTTTTGTATCGCAGAGAGATTGAACCAGCTGCTCAACCGGCATGGGCTCTTGGTACATGAAGGTGTAGCGTTGAGCTTGGACTCGAGCCGTGTTGATGAGTATGTTAGCATCAGACATTATACCAGCAACAGCACACGCAACATGGTCATCAATCTTGTACATTTTCTCAGCAGAGGTTGAGGTTTGAAGAAGCTTAGAGGTGACTTTCTTCTCACCGATCAGCACAACTCCGTCTGTGGATAAGATACCAATTGCAGAACCAGCGTTTCCAATGGCCTCCATAGCATACTCTACCTGGTAGAGACGACCTTCAGGAGAGAAGATTGTGGTACG